GTCAGGTAAACGTAAGCTGCTATGAGATAAATTATTTTTCCTTTTCTTCACGAAGTACTCTAGGAGGAGAGAGAATTTTCTTAGTGTAAAAATCAGCCTTTATTCTGTCAGGCAAAGTAATTATGGAAGCAAAACAAATCCACATTGTCTAATTAGGTCATTAAAAAGCATAAATGCGTCATGGAAGCTTTTCTCCTTGCCTAAGACATAAAGTGAGACAATGAAAACAGTCTGGTAATATAGAAAGGTTCAGAATTTGTTTCTTTTCAAAAATAATAGGTCTTTTCATCTTTCTATTTCCCTTAGATGAAGACAGTTAATTTAGAGACAAAATCTTCTAATTAGTTCAGAGTTTACTCTGATTATATTTCAAAATATTTAACCAAAAACAGGAAAGTAGGGAAAAAAAGAAAATAGATGGAAAAATTATCAAAGGAAATAAATAAAATCAAGAGCGTGGGTTGCTGATCCAAATGTATTCTACAGAGACAAGATGAATATAAAATCTATATTCATATAAACACAACCAATCTGGGATACCAGAAAGCTCTTAGGAGGAATATTCTGGCATCTGCCTTGGGGATTTGAAATCCAGACTTTAATTATAGCTAACTTAAATAAAAACAAATGCCATGATTATCTCACTTCTTCCTCTGTCTACTTCTTATTATTTCTTGAGTTTTAGAAAACTCGTGGCCTCAAGCGTTAAAAAACAAGAAAAAGGAAAGGAAAAGAAACTTACCTGCGATCCTCTTGGCCCACGTTTGTGGTCCCATTCTGAATGCCCCATGAGCTGTAAAGATAATGTAAAAATGACAATGAGTCAAATGATTATTTTACTTGGCAAATATTTCTACTCTTTCTTTTAAAGAACAATGATGTTGAAATCTTTAATAGTAACATATTAAATAGCTACCACGAATAAATTAACATACCTGAAGTAATAAACTTCCTGTTTGATAGCTAATATTTCAACTTCTAATTTTTTGAGGGTATTTTAATATCACTGTGACAAAAAGAATCTACTAATATATACGTCTACTGCTCTTTGTCAGGAAGATCCTAGACAGATGTTAAAGCAGGTAAAGCTTTATTTGTGTATCATTAACCTTTCAATTTATTAGGAAAATATGCTGAGTAATCCACTAGTATAGTTTCATCTACTGTCATTGAATGATAAAAACCAAAAGGCCAAAATATTTTGATTATTTTTAATTCTATTTTGATAATATCACAAAAACATGAGAATTCTAAAGAGCGTAATTACTTAATGTGAAATATGCCCCACAAAATGCAGATTTTTTTAGAAAAACAGAGACTATAAAATATTATCAAGTTATTCCCATAGTTGAATAGCCCTGAGCTACTTTGCTTAGAAAGTGGGATATTTATTTATTGAAAATAACATTTAACGGGAAAAATATTAAGGAAACATAAGCTATCAACTGAGAGGAATGAAAGTCCATTCATCTGTCCAGTATATTCATTGCTATGAGTCCCAACTGATGCACTTTTTACAACTAATAACCTAATAACCTAGCGCAGCGAGTGGACTATAAATGTATTTATATACATTAGCTTTTCTAACAGTAATGACTCCTTAGATTTAATAACAAACAACTAAACTGTTCACAATAGCAACAACAAAAAATAATACACCTTTGAACATTATTGAGAAATGTTTAATAATCATATACAGAAAATGGCAAAACTTTACTGATGGACATACAGTGCTACTAAGTTAAAAAGACTGAATTAGGCCGGCGCGGTGGCTGATGCCTGTAATCCTAGCACTCTGGGAGGCCGAGGCGGGCGGATTGTTTGAGCTCAGGAGTTTGAAACCAGCCTGAGCAAGAGCGAGA